CATCGATGCCTCCTCCCCAGCTGAGCTTCAGCAGATAGCAACTTTGAGTCCTGATGCACCATGTCATACTACAAAATCCAGCAAAAGCGAGCCCCCTTGGGCCAAGCCGAGACGAGCCGGGACGAGCCGCGGCAACAGACTCTTTCGTGAATTCAATACATATTCATAGTCGATTGTTAGTCAGCGAAGGTCGGAGAACTCAACATAATTGTAACATGAAGCAGAAGAATACCTCAATCTCTTCTGATGACTGCGGCCTCAAGCTTGGCTCTGGCTACTCGGGAAAATATGCGGCTGTCATTAGCATCGTATTGCCACAGCAGTCTGACACCTGGTGTCAGCGACAAAAAGTATGCGGTAGACCTGCCTAATCCACCCTAGACGAAGCTCCTCCCTTCGATGATTTATACTCGTGATGGCGCAAGCGAAAGCTTGTCAGGACGAAAAAGTCAGCCTGCCCAAAATATATTTAACGGACAACTACAGCTAACGTAGTCAGACTGACAGTGGCATACTCTGGAATCACTGGAATCTTCATTCCTTTGGAGTCTTTGGCTTTCATGAAGCCAATGGAGAGAGATCGGTGGAATGACAGTCCTGGGCAGATACGCCTAAACTAGTGAAGCGATAAATGAACGAAGCCTTGCGGAGCGCTGCTTATAGATGAGAACAGTAGCATCGTTCAAATCACTCTTCAAGAAGATTACAAACAAACAAAGTACTAATCGTTCATTCATCATAACATCGTGTGATGACCTTCAGGTTTAGTATACATCAACAAAAGGAGTATACCTCTACACCTAAAACTTGACTGTCGGAGTGTGTCTCTATAGGGCAGAAATGGATTCAGACTGTCACTTGAATATGATCACATGCCTCTTAAATTGCCACACATACTCTGCAGGCGGCAGGCCGGTCAGAACATATGGTAGAGCGTCTGTCCAAAGGTCCCGGCCTGCACGGAGTTGATAATGATGATGTGTTGTCCCAGCACACGAGAGTACATAGCATCACCTGATACGATGTCAGTGAAAGTATGCTGTGGTATTGGTAGGGAGTGTATGAAAGCCATGGTAAAGGAACATCCACGTCAAATGCATCGCCCACAAATTGGAGCGAACGGGGACCCGGCGGAGGGGGTGCTCGACCTGAGCGCCATGCTAGGAAGAGCGGAAAGCAAGGAATGATTACATACACAACAAGGTAGGTGTCTGGCATCATGATGGTCACCGTAGTATAGCTGCGACGTAGCCCAATACAAGATCTACTAGTACATACCAAGCTGCCTCAAACCTGAAGCCTGAAGACCGGTGATGATCAAGGTTTCGACCGATGTGCACCCCGAGTTAGCCTAAGCGCCCCAAAGCGGGTCAGAAAGACTTGAGATCATATAAGGCTTTGCACATACGTACGTGTTTATTTAGTTCTAGTTCCATTGATGGACACGTTGAATGGGCAGGTGATCGATGCAGCTTATACCTGAGTCAGATCCGCGATTGCTACTGAAATCAGAACTGAATGCGACATGGCACGCCGACCAGAAGTAATGCATTGGATTTGGAAGTCAGCCAAACACACTTCTATAGTCCGGCTGTACTGCAAGTCTGCTACATTGTGCAGCGACAGGCGCAAGTTCGGGGCGGAATGAGAGATGGTGACAATCTGGACTATGATACAAGTTGTACCTTCTATGTAGTGTGAGCTAAGGGAGTGGCATGTTAACATAAAACAAAGGAAGTGGTGTAGGGAAGACTAATAAGGGATAGTTCCGTCGCCAGGGGAGTAAGAGTCCTTACAGCACTTATCCGGTTTTCCAAGTCGAGTTCCTCAGAGTAATTCTGCATCATGCAC